TCAATAATCTTGAAAAAAAAAAAGTTCATGGATGCACCTGTATTTGCAATTGGAGGCAACAGAAAATATAACTTTTGTTTAGGGACTAAACCTTTAGCTGATTGTATCCTGGCCTCTTTCACCAGTGGAGGCCTGGAAACTTCTCCCTGTGGAGGCTGGAAATGCTATCCTCATTCCCTCCAACTCCTCCTCATTCAGAATGCTGGCACAAGAACATGCTAAGAAGATTTGGAGAGTCTTTTTTAGCCAAAACAGTATTGGTTTTCCGAGCTGCAAAAAGTGATGATCCACCTAATGCTGGTTCTTTTCACTGAGGATGTGACGTCACCACAGCGTGGCTGCACTTTGTATCCCCATTTGCACCATTACCATTCCCACAGTTTATCCAGGAAGTTGCTAATTTCATTGAGGCAAAATCAGCCTGTTCTTGAAGTGCATAAAAAAATCCTCCTTAGCTGGAAAGATTGGAACAGTGTACCTTGAAGATAAATAAATGCAATTTTCTCTCCAGGCCTGTTGTCATCTGCTGTTTCCATCTAGAAGGCAGATTCCAGAGGTTTGAGGATACCTGCTGAAATGGTAGTGAGCCTTGGGAGAATTGAGGAATGCTCACCATTTTCACACCCCCGTTAAAGAGGTCAATAAAAGGCTTCAAGAGGATTTACTTACCTGCAAGTTGTTTTCTTCTGAGCTTTTCTTGAATTCTGACTGTGCTCACGAGATCTTTTTTTTACTTATTATCCTTCTGTTCTCTTTTTCAGCTGTCCAGCAAACCTGATTTCTACTAAGTAATAACAGGGAAGAGTAGAGGGAAAATCACTAATGGTGGATCTCTTTCATCTTGGGGCTTTTTTTCACCAGAAGACATTTTATTAAGACTCATCCTGAATTTTTGTCCAGCAAATTAACAGATTTCCACCTGCAGTATTCAAGTAGTAACCACATCACTTATTTTTGCAGGAAGTGTGAAACAGGAGAGACCAGGAGCAAATTTAATAAACTGGATATGTGAGACACCATCACTTAATTTAACTGGATTATGCAGTTTAGTTCCTGTCCAAAGTGGCCTATTGGAAAATAGGAGCCACTACACCTTTTCAGGACTGGGAATCTTGATTTTGGCTTCCATGTATATCTAGAGTGGATGTTACCTGTCAGACTTGCAAGGAGCATTCCTGCTTCTTCACCAGGAGGACTTAGACCATCTGGGGAGGAAAATTCTGGTAGGAAATTCTAATTTGCATCATTTGTCAATTTTAATACATTCATAGGTGTCATATCAAGCATCCAAGCTGCAACGGACCTGGGAAAAACATTTTATAGCCATTTGGGGGTATGCAGAGGAGTATATTTGGGATTTATAATGACTGGGAAAAGAAGAAACAGTTCCTTACTTGTACATGAACTCTTAGCAATGTGGTAGGCACAAAATCTCTCCATAGCTTGTTCCTGGATCTCACCTCTGTGGGTTCTGCTGCAACTTACAGATCCAGGGGAGGTGTCCTTGGAATTTACAATCGGGACATGTTGTTTTGGGTTTTTTTTCCCTTCATTCCTGTTGTTTTTTCACCTGCAAAAAAACAAGATTTACCCTCCCCTCCTGGGTTTTGAATATCTCAACAAGTTCCCATAGCTTTTCAACACTCCTCCCCAATACCTCACTGCAGAGCAGGGGGTAAGATACTGTCTTTCATCTGCTCGTTCGTTCGAGTCACAGAAAGCCCCTGGGGCCATCCACAAGGATATCTCACGAGGATTCAAGTGTGGATTTTCCTCTTTGACCTTTTCCCGGCCCTGGGGCATTCGCCAAGTGAATTCTGTGGTCGTGGCAGCTCACCTGAAGATGCAAGGAATACAAATCCACCCATAAAGGTGTTCCCACAGGCACTGCTGTCCAAGAGACCTCAACTGCCTGTATGGATACATGAGAAGCAGAAGTGGAATCCGTGTGGACGACACATCTTGAACTATAATTACCATACGGTAAATAGTCATTCTTTATTGTGTTGTCAACAGGCAGGGAACATGCTCTGATGTGGGGTTTGGGGTACTGCTGACAGAGCTAATGGATGAATCCTGAGGGAAGATTCTTTTTCCCACGTGACGCTCAAGTCCCTTTTCTTAATTGTAAAAACATCTGTAAGAAGAACCGAATGAGTTGTAGGCCTTGACAGCTGATCTTCCCAGGACTCACTCCGCAAAGACAAACGTGTCTTGTGCTTGTCCTTTATCTTCATCCGAAGCATTTGCCAAGAGGAGCATCTGAATTCTGCTGGAATTATAATATTCAGTTTCAGATTTTCCATCTTCAGGAGAGAAGGGAAGCTTCATATTGTGGCAGTAATGAGGTTTTAAGAGTTATTTTGGGTAGAGCCAGGGAATTTAGAAAGGCACTTCAGGGTTTTCTACCTTTGTGTGGAAGGTTAAAGAGGAAAAGAGCTTTTATTCAGCTTTGGTTTGGTATGAATTAGATTGTTATGAAGAGATGTAATTTTTACTTGGATGTTAATAGTGACACTGGGGCCACGTGCAGATGTTAACACAAGCTTCTTACAACTCAGCTACTTGTCTAACTCCCAAAATAAAGACTGAATAGAATTAAGGTGTTTCAGTCTCTTCCAAACATAGTTGCCTAAAGCAACTCAGGCTGTATGTTCCCTAAATTATCTATTACATTTGTTTCCCTGACAAGCTCAGAGGTGGATATCTCCCGTGGAGGAATCTGAAAAGACTTAAATAACCTTCCTCCGGATTTTGTTCCTCAGAGCCTTTTCACTTTCATGGCTGGCAGGTAGTTCTGAATCTCTCCCAGCAGGTATAAATTAAGCAAGGACTTCCTAATTTCAATTAGATTATCTTGTCAAAGTAAGGTTGATAGTTAATTATCTCAAACACCTTCACAGATATAAAATACTTGCAGTGCTTTTTAATTTACTGGAGAAATGCCATTGGAGAAATTTATTGGAGAAACCTGCTGGCTGGAAGCTAGATGTGTTTGAACTGAAAATGGGACCTTTTTTTTAATGGAAGGGGTATTTAATAATTAAAGAACCCAAAGACTGTAGCAAAAGGCCTGGTAGTTTGCCCATCTTTTGAAGTCCTCACATGAAGACTCGCCGCCTTTGTGGAAGGTTCGTGTCAGGCAGCAGCGAGCGACACTCGGTCGAACACGAATTATTGGGTTCAGCACAGGGGTAACCCAGTGAAAGTTAATGACCTGTGATATATAGGAAATCACACTGGATGATCTAATGGTTTCTTCTGGCCTCACACTCTATGAATCCATGAATATGTATCCTCTGAGGTTGCCTGCTGCTTGTGTTCCTAAACAGGGGAACGGGCAGAGGCCGCTGCGAGAGAAGGATTTATGTTTATTTACTGGCATCCCTTGTCCTTTAGCTACATATTCAGATGGTTCACACCCAGATTTGTAAGGTCTGGGAGAGGATTTGGAGCATTTGGGAAAGCGTGGTCGCTGGTAGCCTCTGCTGTGCGAGTTTGATGCTGTGAGAAGTGATTCACACAGTTCCCAAAAGGCGCTGCCTTCCAGCCCGTTACCACATCTTGGCAGCGTTTGAAGGGCACCCTGTGAGCATGAAAGGCAGGAGTGGTGACTCAGAGAGCCACAGCGAGGGGTAAGAAACCCTTTCTGGTGGAATATGAACACACAAAAATACATACACTTGTGTGCAGGGCTATTTGAGGGCGGTGCAGCCTCGGTAATTGGGCTCATGTGTCTGTCTAGAAATGGCTGTTTCGGCCGCCTGTTTAGCAAAGAAAGGCTTTTCCCCGCATTTTATTTTTCTGGAAGGACACTGGGAATCCAAAGAACTCTTAGAATCCATGAGCCATCCTTGTGCCATGCTGTGGCTGCCCATGTGTACTTACAGCATCAGCTTCCTGTGGCTGGTTTTGTTTTGTTTTCCAATTGGGAGGGAATATTATCTTTAAACAGACAAGAAAACGAAAACAACTGACTAAAAATCTCCTTCAAAATAACAATCAAGGAAGCCAGGGTGCTCGCAGGAGGAAAGGGATAATGACTGATGAAGAGGAGAGCCACCTGAGGGGAAGAAGTGGCAACATTCGGGGAATGCCGGGGAGGGAAATCCTGTCTGTTTACAGGCTCGGTTTTTCCACACCTGTGGGTTAGAAATGCTGTCATCTGAGGAGTGGCCCCATATTACAAGAAGGTCAAGCACCAAGCAGACCTAATTAAAAGCTCATTACAAGAGACAATCTCCATTAGCATGCCAAGTTTCATGCAAATCCATTAGCACCAGGGCTCTCTTCGGAAGCTTTAAATTCCAGTCCTGTGCCCCAGGGACTGGAAACCGTGGCCGGTTAATTTGCCATTCTCAGTCTGTGAACATTAGGCACAGTCCTCTTACTTTCTGGATTATTTCACATTCCAGCAAATTAGTTTTATCCGTTCTGAGAACATTTTAACAAAGAAAGTTCTTTTGGCATCACATGGATAAAATAACAAGGGATAAAAGAATGAGCAGTTCCCCCAATCAGGAACAAATAACTTTAAATCTCTCCTGAAAATGCAGCCTTTCCTGTTATTCCCACCCCCCCCCTTCCTTTCATTTATCTTTCGGCAGTCGGATTTTTTAATTACGTCTCTGCAGCCAGATTCCCCTCCCTCTCTCTTTATGAGGGTGCTCTCAAGAGCCATGTTTTTTCTTTATGCCATTGTAGCAGAACTTGACTAAAGATCTTCAAACTTGTTAAGTATAAAAGTTGGTAAATGATACTATTGTTCGAGTTAAGGGTGGGGGGGAGAAGGGGGGAAGGCAGTTTATCTGTGGTGGCTGCAGGGAGGGGGAAGCTTTGGGAGAAAAAAAAAAAAGAGGGAAAGAAAAAAAGGCTCAAATGAACTGAAATGGATCAAAGTAAACAGAGACATCTAAAAGCTTTTGTAAGTTAAAAGTGGCTATCTGTTGCAAGTCCTGCCTCATTAACTACTGATAGAAGCACTGTCTTGGCCTTCCCAGATATCTAACGCTGACCGCCTCTAACGAGATGAACTCGGGGTTATTCCCTCTCGCCGCTCCCTGCACGGCTGCTTAACCTCAACCTCTCCACCAGTGTTTATCCTCGCCCCAGGATGGGAGATCCACAGTCCCCAAACTTCAGTACGAGCTTGGAGAGCGGGAAGGAAGTGGGAGAAAGAGGGAAGCGTCTCCAAAGTCGGTGGCTGGCCTGGGCTGCGCCGTTTCCACACACCTTTGTCAGGCAGGGACGGGGAGAGATGGAGTTCAGCCGGTGGGTTCCAGCATATCCCCCATGCCCTGCCCGTTCCGAGGGGGAAGCTGGCACTGAGAGGCTTGTCCAGGGAAGCAGGGAGGGCCAGGAGGGATGGGGAGGGGGGGAACACGATGGCTCTTTGACTGGGACCAGATAGGTCTCTGTGTAGAGTAATATTACAGCTCGCTCTCTCATAAACAAGCTGCATGCCGGCTTCTAAAGAGCCCATCTGGCATAGCTTTGAGAATGGCAATAATTACAAGCTGATGATGGACATGGAAGAAAAGCCCTGCTGAGCTAACTCATAAGGAAGTACAGGCCAGGACTGTAGGGAAATTACAGGCTAAAACTCTTTCTAGTTTAGGCCTTTTGGTGTTCTTAATCACAGACTTTAAATGTCGTAATAAACACTGTTGCATTTTATTGACCAACTCCCATGACAGGCAAATCTTTTTTATTTTATTTTATTTTTTACTATTTGTTAGTTCAGAAAGCAGTTTGAGAACAATCGTTTCTTAAGACTGGGTCTGTACATTTACTTCATGAAAAGTGATCCAAACAGCAAGAGTCCCTTTTGTTACTTGGCAATTAAAAAAAAGAATGAGAGGAAAAAAGGGGAAAAGAAATATTTTAGAGTTCCACTTACCCCTGCGCAGGACCAGGTCACTGATAATGCTGGCTTTGTTTTGAGATTATCGTTGAGGAATAAAAGATCTAAAATGAGTTGTTAAGTTTTTAGGTGAAACTCCCGCTGATTTCACTGGCTATAGGATTTCCCAGGAAATAAAGCAGTTTTAGGTATGAGAGGTATGGCCTGATCTTGTGCCCAGTGAAGCTCATGACATACTTGCTGACTCCAATGGTCTAAACCAGTGTCACTGGAGGCTCAGAGGCCTCATCTGTGTCTGGATTTAAATCCAGTCTTACTGTTGTGACCCACAACTGTGTTTCTGAATAAAAGGGGAAATTCCAGGCTGCTGGGGCTCTGTTCCAGTGTCCCCTTGGAGATACCAAACATCATTTTCCCAGTGGAACATGAGAAATGTGAAACCCAACGATGTGGATGCCCAGTTTAGAGCACCTGCCAGGGCTGTGGTTGCCAGAGGAAGGTCTCTCCAGCACCGGGTATCCCATGTCTGGAGTTAAAAATCACTAAATCTTGAGAGTGTTACCACCTCTCTGCCTCAAAACGTCTGTGTTTTGGGTCTATGAATATGTTTATGACGTGGTTTTTTGTGCACATGCACGTGGCAGTGCCATCTCAATGGACGATAAATGGCTGTGGACCATCCCTATGGACCATTTCTATGGATATAGGAGTGGAGTGCAAGGGAGTTGTGACAGTCAACACCAGTTAAAGTTCTGCTTCAGAGAGTCTGCCTCTTTTCCCAGACTAATTTCCCTCTCCTTTCCCTTCTGCAGGGTCTAGAAGATCAAGAGTTAAACAGTTCTGTGAGTTTTATTTGACTTGAGTGCAATAAATCTCCCAGGGTGACTGATAGACTGATAACTCTCAGAATCCATTCAGTACTTTGTGTGTCAAAGCAGCAGTGAATGTGGAGTGTTGTCAGTTGTTTTAAATAACACTGTTTTGACAGTATGTTGTTTATTACAATTCAACACGTGCGATCTGTTTTCTTGGAGGGAAATCTGCCTTTATTTTACACTGGGTTTTATTTCAGTTTAGGAACATCGGCCACATATTAGAAATGCTGCATAACACGGTGGGTTGGCTTTTACTGATCCAGTTAAATCTTGGAAAAGTATCTGTGTTTTTACAGGATGCATTCTCCTACGAGATTCCAAATAGCAGAACATTCTGTTCCTCTAGATAAACGCTTGCCTGCAGGTATAGCTTTGTGTTTGTAAATTGTTTCATGTTGCTCCTATTTCTGCTGCAGTTCTCTCACAGACGTTCCAAAGTTTCTGGTTTACTTGTGGCTGTTTGTGTCCCAGCATTTCATAACACAGATGCTTATTTAGTTTTCCCCATTACCATTTGACTATTTGTTCAGGCATCAGATTATTTCCCCCCCCCTCCTCCTTTTTTGTTGCAAAGTTGAAGGAATGTGAGGTCAGGGAATGGAAATTTACCTATCCGAAGGCAGCTCTCTTTTCTTTCATAAACTTCCTCTGGCTTCTTAATCTGAAACTTGCTTGTCAGTGGGAAATGATTTCTTTATATTTAACTGTCTCTTTCCAATACAGACTGGAATTGTTCCTAACAAAAGGAGCATGAATCGGTGGAAACTATATATTAAATGCAGGACTATTTGTCTAGTTTTCATTAGGTTGCTGAGTGAGAAGCCCAAACTCCTCTCTTTTCCCAAGGTACTCGGATATCCACCAAGTGCCTTCATCCCATAGCCTTGTTTCCTCTCCCAGTAAACCAGCTTTCCAAAAGAATGCTCCACTCTCTGCTCTTTATACTGTCAGCAGTGACAGCAACCAGCCACGCTGACATTTCTTATTGTTTACAAAGGATGAGCGCCAACAAGGCATCTCTGATCAGTTGATAAACTCTCCTAACCCTTTCCCCCCGCTGCCCAACCCTCTGCTCCACTGACCAAACTAACCTTTTCACGGTACACTGCCTGTAATTACCAGTGAAAGACGCTAACCAGAGAGGATCAGGACTCGAGCTAAACACAAACAAACCAGCAAAACAGCTCCGAAGATAAACTACTCACAACTCGCTCGGCACACAGGGCAGGCCAGGAGAGACGGAGCAGCTGCGGGCAGGGAGGGGAGAGAGCAGAAATCTAACCCTAAATTCCTCATGTGCATGTATTTTTCATATGAATTTTAAAAGTGCTTGAAAAAACACGCTAGAATGGCATTAAAATAACCTTATTGTTTATTATCATAATCCTGTGTATTTAATATCCTTTTCCCCCTTCAATTCCCCCCACTCCTGCAGAAACTCCCGCCAACACAGTGGTCAAACTGAGTTCAGAGCTCCTCATAATGAGCCCAGGGATAATGCCTATACCAAAAAGTTACTTTTCAGTCATGACATGAATTTGACTTTTACCCACCCCCCTCCTCAATCCCTGGTGTGACAAGCAGATTCCTCCCGTTCTGTTTTCCTGGAGGTGAGAAGCACCAGCCCATGGAGTCTCTCTTCACTCATCCCTCTCCAAGAGCCAGTTGGTGAGGAAGGTACTATCGGGGGCTTTTGTTTGCCAGGAACGTTGATGTGGTGGATGATTATATAAAAATACCTTAAATTCCATCTTTAAAAAAAATTTCATCTGCTGTTACAGATTCCACCTGAAATAGCTGGGTAATGGGCCTGCTCCATGAGCAGAACTTTTGCCACTGATTTTTCCAGCGCTAAAGAGTCAGACACAGCTTTCAGAAGGGTGTGATTTTCTTCCCAGCGGCTCAGCTGTGTCTGTTCATTCTTCTTTCCCGTGGTGGGGTCACTGTTACATGGAAAACAACAAGATCAAGTTTAGACCTCCACCAGGAACACAAATCTTTAAACTGAAGTTTTATTTTAGGCAAAACAGCAGCAGAAGTCCTTCTGGCTCTGCAAAATTCCTTCCTGTTCTTGCAGAAGCCTTTTCTGCTGGGAACCCGGTCGTGCCATGTTATCCCAGCATGGAATCAGCCTCTTCAGCCATGAAATGCTTCTCATTTACTTGTGTTGGTTCTGCAGATGCCATTGATTAAAAACCTCCTAAGGAACAACCACAAGAGTAGCACTGCCACTCCTACGGCCTTTGGACAGGCTTTATCATCAGCTGGGTGGTGGTGAACATCTAAGGGACCTCTCTTCATCTTTCTTCATTTCATCAAATTGTTGTGGTACTGTTGGGATGGATGAAATAATTTGCACCTTGGCCCTAAACCTCTGATCCTTGGCTGGAAAGCTGGAGCTGCAGCTTCCAGCAGGAGCAAAAAGCTGTTGCTAAATTGGAAGTGGCTGAGATCTCTCTGTCCCTGTCTGACTTTGCAGGGCTTCCATCATCGTGCAGGCCCTCCAGAAAGGCTGCTCGTGTCGACAGAGTTGGGCAAGGTAGTACGGGGTGGTTTTCCCTTTCATTTATTTTAATGTCAGTTTTTATTGTTCTCTCTGGAGTTTTTACCTGTTCCAAGGGGATTTCACAACATTTTCAGACTAGTAGGATATGAAAAGCTGAGCCTACGAATGCAGACTTGAAAGCCTTAATTTAAGGAGCATGAAAACCTCCTTTAGAACTGTGTTTCATTTAGCCTTCCTGGCTTTCCTTCCTTCTCTCTCTATCAGTCTGACTTTTTTAATCTGCACAAAAGTGGCAATCCATGCACTTAAAACATGTGAAACGAAAAGGTCTGAGATTTTGTGAATTTTCCAGAAGAACTGGACACCTCCCTGTGCATGTGATGTGCAGGAATGCCTTTTGTTTCCTCCCAGCTCTCCTTGTCACAGTGGGGATATTCCAGGGAATTAGTTTGGCGAGAACAAAGCCAAGTGTTGCATAGACAAATGCAGTTTAATGTATTGACAAACAGGAGCAGAATTTAAAATTGCAGATATGAGATGAAGAGCTTAAAAAAGCTTTATACAGAAAAAAGTAAAAGGTATATTTGAAATTTTTAGGCTAAACTATTTATGAGAAAGAAAAAGCAAAACTGGTCAAAATACCACAGCTATTTACCTTTCTAAACATCCACAAATAGGAAATGCTTTATGCCAGTCTTTCTTTAGCCCAAAATACCCACTGACCAGTAAATGTGGATGCTGAATGCAAAGTTGAATTTTCTTTTTTCAAAACAATTTAATGCATTTGGAGGGGGGGGGGGGGAGAAAGACTGTAAATTAGCCTTATCAGAAAAAGACTTAACTGCTG